CTACTTTTACAAAACTAAGAAGAGTGGCACTTAATTATGCTACCAAGAGAAGTGTGATATCTAACATACTATTATTCTGTTCTAACTAATCCACATCTGCCACCTATTGTTAATTCATGCATACCCATTTCAAACATAATGAATTTTATTTATTACTCATAGCTTAATATTATTTTAACCAACCTTTGACTTATTTCCAATCAATGTGGATATTAGACCTAGTCGTTCAATTAATGGAATTAGGTAGGCCTACATATTGGAAATGAGAAGGTGGTTGACAATGGGTTGGCTACCTTAATTCACATTTTGCTTCAACTCCATGACACCATTGAATAAGAAATTAAAAATTTTATGTGAACAAAAATCTGGTTGGAATCAAGCATTCTTAATTTTATAACCAACCATTGGTTGGTATTAGCTTGGTTTATATGTTGGATTTGTGTTGGACAAAATCTTGAGCAAAAATATTAATTGTAATTTACTTTTTGAGCAAAAAGATGTGCAAACACCTAGAATTCTTTTAATTTCTATTCTCGTACATAGATTTTGTTTTTTTGTTTTGTTTTGTTTTTTTTTGTTTTGATGTGTTTTATTTTGTTTTTTTTTTTTTGTTTGTTTTTTTTTTTTTTTCATATACATATTGCAAATATGCTAAAATGATTAAGTTATTAGAAATGGATAGGCTATCTTAGCTTTGGTATACCAATTTCTTAAGCTTGTGCTCTGCTAGATGGAGGTGGAGAGAAAACTAATGAAATGAGAGGAGGAGACAAATCAAAACAACACCATAGAATTAGATTGTCATCCCATTTGTAAATATGTGCTCTCTCCTTTGCCAGTGCCTTCAATCTTAGTCTTGATACTTTTCTAGCACTCCACTATTTTTGTACAATTTAAAATCTAGAAGTGGCCAATATGTAGCTTCTAAAATAAACTTCAAGATATATGTATATATATATATATATATATATATATTGAAGTACAAAAGCTATTTATCAATGAAAGAGAAATTTTATTTTCTAATTATTCTCTATGTGTCATTCTAAAATTATTATAAAAAATTATGCATTTTTTCTTTATCTATTTTTATTCTTCAAGCATATCTAAATAAATTATTAGAATGTGCAATATAAGATATGTCTACATGTATATATTGTAGATTAATTTTCTTTAGTTAAAACTTTTAACCTATTAATTATGATTTAATAACTCAGTAGTTAAGTGTGTGTATATATATATATATATATATATATATATATATTATATAAATATATGATTATTTTATTATAATTTTTAAAATATTATTTTAAATAAATTATATGAAAATATTATTTCTAAATATTCATTTAAATGATTTTTTTTAAAAAAAAGATCTTTAAAGTTTTTATTTTATAGATATCAAATATAAGAGTATTTAAATGTTTTAGGGATGTATTTTAAACTCAAAAATATTATATTTAAAAATAAAAATTTAGAAAATAAATCATAATATTATTTCTAATACAAATCTAAAATATTATTTTATTAATTATAAAGTTAATATGGTTTTCATAAATAAATTTAATTTAATATTAATTTATTTAAAGCTTATTATGTAATTTAAATTATTTTATTTTTATAATATTAAAATCAACATTTAGATTGATTTTCTTTTTGATAATTCATATGGTAAGATTTTCATAAAAAATATTAAGTTAAAAATCAAACTTTAAAATAAATATACCAAGTTATTTTTTTTATTATCTAATTTATTTTATATGTGCATCAAATAAATCTATATTTATCAAAATAATTCATAGAATAAGTAGAATTTAATAAGAGTAAGTAAAAGTAGATAAAATTGAAAATATTTTGTTAAAAAGTTTTTAAGATGTTTCATAGATACAAATTTAACTTAAGAAGTATTTGTAGATGATTGATAGGTTGAAAACTTGGCCAACAATTTGACCATTTATATAACAAGTTGGCTATGTGGTTCATATGTTAAAAACTTATTCTACAAGTTAAATACATATTTTATAAATTAAATATATGTTATATGGAAATATGTAGGGATAAGAATAAGGTCTTTTCACAGTGATCAGTACCTTTCTTGTCTCTAGTCTAGTCTAAAATTATCAACTTTAATTTGAAGGAATAAAGATCATGCGTCTTTGTTAAAGAAAATACATTAATTTTAAGAATTGTAAGATGATATATAGATTATACAAAATAATAGTGGTGAATTGTATAAGGTTTTTTATTTTTTTTATTTTTAATAATTTTATTTGGAGACGTTTTTCTAAAATATAGATGTAAGAAACAAGTACAAGTTAGCAAAAGAGGTATACAAGAGAATAAAATAAAATAAAATACCAAAAGATTTTCAGAATATAAAAAATATAAATTTTACTTTATTATTATAAAATATAAAATGATATACTCATATAAAATTCAAATTATTATAAGTACTTTATTTTTATTATTTTAAATATTTTAATTTATATTCAATTAGATTTTTAAAATTTCTATTAAATATATACACAAATATATATATATATATTATTTAAATAATAAATAAATAATTATAAATTAGATATTAAATATCTTGGAAAAGATTCCTAACATCCACATATACATAAGTTAGTAGAATGTTTAAATTTACGCACAAGTGTCTAATGCTAGAATTAATTAATTTTTTTAAAATTATTAACTATTTGAAAAAAATTCACAATTTAAATATTATTTTAAAAGATATAAAAAAGAGATTATAATGATAAATAGCCAACTATTATCTATAAATAAAAGTTAATAATATAGCTTGTAATATTACCTATAAATTTAAATTTTTAGGAGATAAAATAATAAATTACCTTAATATTTTAATATTTTGTATGTTTATCAAATAGTAAAAAATATAAAATAAAAATACTATCCTAAAATTTGGTGATGTTCTTAAAATAAAATAAAATATTAAAAAATAATATTATGTACATTTGAATATTTATATATATATAAATAAAAATATCCTTAAAAAATAAATGCATTATATGTTTTATATAATTTAATAAAATTTATAAATTAATATAATAATTTTTTTTTAAGTAGTTTTTCTCATAATAAATTTAAATAAATTTGATAAAAATATTTCTAATAATATTTAGATATATAAAAATATAAAATAGTATAAAATATAATTTTGAATAGTTTTTAAAATATAAATATATATAAAATCAATTCTAAGAATAATAATTTATTTAATTATAAAATCATAGTAGTATTATAACATATATATGTATATATTATTTATATAAATAAAATATATCTTTAAATTTAGTAATTATTTTACTTAATAATAAATATCCAAATAACTAATACTAATTAATAATTAATCAAAATTTTAGAAACAAGTGCATCCAATAATATATACTTAATAATTTTTTTATTATAAATAATAATTTTATTTATACTGATTTTTATTAATTGACAGAGATAACTGGCTAAGAAGACCACATGACTATTTGTTCTTGGGTAAGGCAAGACAATAGGGCTAGGAATGCCATGAGGCTATATATGATTAGGCGTATGTAGCTTAGTACCTGCCACGGTGGAAGCATCTAAGTTTGTAGAGCCCCAGCAAGAATGATTTCCATCTTGCCTTTAATATGCCACTTTTAATGATTAACAACTTCTAATAATTAATACTTATTTTTGCAACAAATTATATTATTTCGCTAAATGAACATTACATTTTTTTTAAAATAAAAATGTATAATGAACATTAAAGCAGATTTTATCAACAAAAAAATTCCATGTTCTTAAATTTTTAACAATTTTTTATGACTTTGATTGTGTCAAACTATTTGTGATAAATACTATTATTATTCTCAGTTTTGAAGTTATATTTAAATTTTATTGCCTAATATAATGTTTAAAAATACATGCTTTAATTAATAAAGAAAAAATATTTTTTTATCTTTTTTAAAAATATTCTTTATTATTTTGATTGGTTTTTGAAATCTTTATTGATTAAATTTAATTTTTCTATTTTCTTATTAATACAAATTGTTATCAAACTTATCTTGAATTATAACTATGTTACTTTTTGTTTTTATTTTGATGTAAATAATGTCATAGTAAGATTCTATGAGTTCAGTAAGTTCTTTTTTGGAAAAATTGAAAAGAATAGAAAATAAACCTATTAAATAGTATTTTATCGTATTTTATGTAATAGTGTATCATCTTTATTCAAAGCCTAGAATGTCATTTGAACAATATAAATCATTATTTTTAACACTGTCTCTTTAATTATGTAGAAACCCATTTAAATAAATATGTATATAAATATATATATATATATATATATATATACAGAGAGAGAGAGAGACACATTTTGTTCTACAAAAGAAAAAAAAGTTACAGTTTTGTTTTGTAATTTATCAGATAGAATTGAAATTTTAGACCTCAAATTCTAACTATCAACTAAAAAATTACTTAGTTGTGCTGTCTGTTATCATTGAATCGTTTGAGGTCGTTCCATAACAAGAACACATCTTTTTCAAACACCCATACATTTGTTCAATCAAATATAAACCCAAAAAGAAGATAAATAAAAAGAGAGAAAAAGAGATTGTCTTACAAGTAAGGATGTAGTAGCTAAAGAAACAGAGGAAGACATGGTTTGTAACATGTGCTTTTTCTTCTTCTCCTTCTTCAACAATGTCCTGCCCGGAATGGTTTTTGCACCCCATCTTCAATTCCACTTCCACTGCCTTCTTCGTTCCATTGCTGTTCATTCCATTCCTATATATATAGATCCCTAATTTCCCCTTCTCCAAGGCTAGTTCGCAAAACCACCAGTCGGCAGCTTGCACCGCCGCCCGCCGAAAATGCACACACAACCAAAATGCACACATACAAGCGGTGCGAAGATGGCGATACGAATGGCCACGAAGCAACAAAACCGAAACCAAACGGAGGGAGGGAGGGGGGGCGGGGGTTGTGGGAGGAAAGAAGGAATCAAGCAAATAACAACAACAACAGCAGCAGCAGCAAGTGTTAATTTCTGAACAAGGTTGGTAAGAATGCGGATACCGGAGGGGCACAAGGACATGTGGGGTTGGATGTTGATGTTGGTGTGGGGGCACACACAGTCAATCAATCCCCATGGAATGGAAGAGGGATGAGGAGGAGGAGGAGGGCATGTACAGTGGAAGGAAGGAAGGCAGTAAGGAAGGCAGGAAGGGAAGCTTATCTATCAGTCAGTCCAGTCCAGTCCAGTCCATCGTCCTCACCACGCAGCTCATTCGAGATCGACTGTTGGGACATGTACTGGTGCTGCGCTGGGATATCATTCTCTAGGTGGGTGGAAAGCCTGAGAGTCTCACTATTACCGGTAATCACTGGGATGGTGATGGTCTCAATGATGAGCAGCATGATTGTGGGATAAGTAGCAGCAGGGCAGGGAGCTTACACTTACAATTAGATTAGCCATGGCAGCAGCGCCTGGATAGATACAGGCTAGAGGGAAAGGGGGTGGGTGAGATTGTTGAATGGTGATGGGTTTGAAAGAAGGAAGGAGGGGGCGATGATGGCACGCAGCTGGCAATGGCAGTGGAAATGTGGCGTCGAAAGGTACTATCACTGATGAGGATAGTGTGAGTGGCTTGAACAGAGGGAGGGGGAAAAGCGAAGCAGCTTAAAGGAGGTGTGTATGTGTGCGTGAGTGTGTGTATGTGTAAATATATGTATGTCTGTCTGGAGTCTTTGTTTTGAGGTTAGTGGTAATTCGGGACATGAGTGGGTGCATGCCCATGTCCACCATAATTACGGCTTTTGTCTCTCACGCCTGTGGGTTCATGTCGCGGTAAGGGAGCGCCAGGAGTGAGGTTTTCTAGAGTGAGTGGTGGGTGAGGAGTTCCGCCATACTACCCCCTCCCTCAAATGGAGTAAGGCTTAGCACAGTAAGCACGATGGATAGTTGTCGTTCCGTAGTACGTGAAAGCTGCTTTTGTATCACTACAGCGTTGTGATGTTATAAATGTGCTTGATTGCGCAGTTAAGTCGCGTGTTCAACTGTCCAGATAAGACAGATAAGGGCATGCGCTCAGCATTTTATGTGCAGTAGAGCTTTTCCGAAGTGCTAGTTTCGCTGCGGAGCATTACAGGCCCAGTTCCTTGTTGCCTCACCCTAGTTCTTGATAACCTTGAGAGATGATGGCCAGCCTGCCGGAGGAGTTTACACATGGCGAGCAAAGATTTCAGTCGTTAGAAAAGTGCAGCACGGAGAATCGAGAGAGGCAAAGCATAGCGTGCGACTTGTATGGCACTTTGGTGAGATCCCGAGCCTCGTTTCCGTATTTTATGTTGGTGGCATTTGAAGCTGGAAGCGTTTTGCGAGCAATCATTCTTCTGCTATCGTCGCCTGTTGCATGGTTCATCTACCACTGCATTTCGGAATCGGCGTGTATCAAGCTGCTCATCTTCGTGACATTCGTCGGGCTCCGGGTGAAGGAGATTGAGACTTGCGCCCGCACTGTGCTGCCGAGATTCTACACTAGCGACCTTCACTGGGAGACATGGCGGGTGTTTTCCTCCTTTGGCAAGCGGTATGTGATTACCGGGAGTCCACGGGTGATGGTGGAGCATTTTGCAAAAGAGTACCTGGGTGCGGACGAAGTCATTTGCACGGAGATTGAAGTGAGTAGCGGCGGAAGGGCTACAGGGTTTGTAAGGCCGCCAGGTGTATTACTGAGTATGGACAAGAGAAATGCTCTTAAAGCTGCATGCGACGGAAAAGATGCACCAGACGTTGGAGTCGGAGACAGAAAGCACGACCATCCATTCTTGACCTACTGCAAGGTGCTTTGATTCTGAACTAAGTGCAGTTAACTAGTCAGATAGCGTTTTTAGATCATGGGATTGTTTCCATGAACGGCGTTGCATCGGAAGTTGCTGTCTAAACTTTTTCAGTTTTTAGTTTTACTGTTACAAAACTGTTTTCACATAGTCAGTACTGAAATTGATTGCCTCACGTTCATTGCCACAGCTTCACTATATTTCCTTTCTGGGAAATTGTAGCTGTAACCGAAGCTAAGAGGACCCATTTTTCTCTGGTACTCATTCGCAGGAGGGTTATGTTGTTCCTGCTGACTCCGGATGCCAATCTGCAGCGCCAAATGGGAGGTTGGCGAAGTCCATTGTCTTCCACGATGGGCGTCTGGTGCAATGTCCAAGCCCCTTGTGCTCCCTTCTGATGCTAATCTGGTTGCCTATAGGATTTGTTCTAGCTATCATTCGCATAGTCGTGGGTACCTTGCTGGGAAAAATGCGCATGAGCTGGCTCTTCTATGCATACAATCTTCTCGGCGTCCGGATAAGAGTGAAAGGAACCCCACCCACCCAAGCCAACTCAGGCGACCCAAAACTTGGCTTGCTCTTCATCTGCACGCATCGCACTCTCCTGGACCCAATCATCTTGTCCATCGCACTCGGCCGGCCCGTGACGGCCGTCACCTACTCAATCTCTCGCCTCAGCGAGTTCCTGTCTCCGATCAAGACTGTGGCCCTGACCCGAAGACGTGACGCCGACGCCGCGATGATCCGCAAGCTCCTCCAAGAGGGCGACCTGGTTATGTGCCCAGAGGGTACCACATGCCGGGAGCCCTTCCTGCTCCGATTCTCCGCGCTCTTCGCCGAGCTTTCCGACCAGATAGTCCCGGTGGCGATGAAGAATGCCATGTCTTTGTTCCACGGCACCACAGTCACGGGGTGGAAGGGCATGGACCCGTTCTTCTTCTTCATGAACCCCAGCCCCCTTTACGAGGTCACGTTCTTGAACCAGCTTCCCCAAGAGCTGACATGCTCCGCAGGGAAAAACTCGTATGAGGTCGCCAACCACATCCAGCGTGTGCTCGGCGGGGTTTTGGGATTCGAATGCACCAATCTCACCCGCAGAGACAAGTACCGCATTCTGGCTGGAACCGATGGCAGCGTTGAGACCACGATTCCCAAGCTGCCGTAGCAGCATCTATCAACCTTCCCCCGAACACACACTCTTTTGTGATTTCTGAGCTGGATTTCGATCACTCAACATTTCTGGAATCAAAATCCACTCGTGTCTCCGAAACAGACGAATTGTTATCCAGAAGAGTGTGTGTCACCAGGCCAGGTTTTAGTTCAAGAGATCTGAGGCTGGTGTAGAGATTTGAGCTGGTTTGAATTAAAAAGACCATGGTCTGAATCCAGTTCAACCTGCTGCACTGTCCCTATTCATGAAAAATAGAAGCAAGATTATTGTATCATAAATTTAACATAAGCGAGAGTTTGGTCTACCTATTGGGTCTCCACGAAAAGGGCTTTTTCCTGAAGCACTGAGGTTGTGATAGGAGCAATAAATATACTTGGGGAGAGCGGCAACAGAATTTTTCACCCTTCAGAAACAGTCCACTTGGATTTGGAACCGTTATAAAAATTCCAGGTATTGAAAGACCATTCTTCGTTTCCTCCCATGGCGTGTAGACGAGATTATATTCAGTGTCTAAGTGGTTCATTTTTCCCGTAAGTCCTGATTGCTTTGAAGCAGGAAAAAAAATAAACTCTGTAAGGGCAAAACTCGTGCAAAACTTATAACTCATGGGTCCTTGTTGACTCCTTCACGGACAAGGTTAGATTATTGAACCAGGCAGGCTTCAATGGTCATCGTACTAGTGAAAAAAATACTTATCGTCAGGGACATGATCAACACAGCTCAGTATTAATTTGAGATTCACTCAGGTACTAACTATACAACGATTACTGCCCTTCATTTCTTTGGTGCTGTCCTTCAGTTTTACAACACATGGTATCAAAGCCATGAGCTTGTAGCCCTCTCCTTCCTTATCCCTCCGTGATAAGGTTCGTCTTTGCATTTTGACAATGTCTGGCGATTGAGTCTTTGCTTTGCTCCTCAGCCTTATTACAGCCTCATCTAACCATGAATTTTTTCAGGTCAAGTATAGCTTTGTGAGCATATTGTATTCTCTCTCTTATCCCACTCAATTACAAAACATGGAGGGTGAAGATTGAAATGTTTCTCATTTGGTCTATAGAATAGATTTTTGAGTATGGTATTAAAGCCTATGCTTCTTTTTTTTCTATTTTTTTAAAATTAATGTTGTTGGCCTTCTGGCTTGATGGCTCAAGGACTCTAAAGTTTCTTTCAACATATTACTTTATGATTTTTTTTTTTTTTTTTTTTTTTTTTTTTTGTCAAGTTTAAAGGACTTTTGAGACTAAATAAAAATTTCCTATAAAAAAGTTTCATCTATCAAACTCACAACAAGCTCATCTATTAAACTTTGTTGCATTTGAGTCTCATTGTTGTATCATTTCCAAGCACATAATATTAAAGAGTAAGTATAATTAAGTCTTTTTTATCTACTCTAAATTAATAATTAAAAATAACTCTTATTTCTAATTTTAGTCATAATTACCAGTATTTTTAATTTTTCATATACAATAAATATCTATACTATTTAAATAAATAAAAGTAGGTAAAATGCAATAGAAAGATAATATCTTTTTTAATATATTAAGAAATCCTCATAAAAATAAACTAGATCTACAAATGCTATGATATGATATATGGCAATAAAAATAAAAAATAAAAAAATCCTAAAAAATTACATTGTTAAAAAATGACTATAAAAATATCATATAACTTGGATGTTTAGTCCACAAGTTGTATAGGTATAAAGAAGCTTCTACATGATTCTTTTATTAGATAATAGATAAAAAGATACAATTGAAACCAACTTCACATTTGTTAAGATTTGTTTTACACTACAAAATTAAATCATTTTTTTAAAATTCATTTATATTTGGTAATAATCATTCTAATTCCTTCTTATTTTATAATTACAAGTTTTTTTTCCTTTATTATAAGCAATAAATAAAAATAATAATGTTAAAAAGTTTATTCAAATTCATGTCATTAATACCATGTTAGAATATGACTTTGGATATCATTTCTTATGCAATTTCATCAAGTTCCACATCTTATGTTTTGATAATATTATTCTTACTAAACATCTAGCAATACTTTAGCCTTTTATTGACTTGTTTTATTGACAAAGTATAATCATTCATGAGCAAGTCAAATAAAGAATTTATTAAAAACTTGATATATATATATATATATATATATATATATATATCAAGTTTTTAACAAATTCTTTATTTGACTTATTCATGACTTGTTCATATATATATATATATATATATATATATATTTCTTAATTTATATAATTGGATGTACAACACTTATTTTGTATTTTGACTTCTATATTATTAATTTTCAATCTCTAGTTTATAAAAGAATGTTTAGTAATTTTACATCTAATATTTAATAGTTTATATCTAAAAAATTAATGATTTCTCATAGTGTTGGCATTGAATCCATCAAAACTTGTCATGTTGTAACAACTTCTATACAATTAAATGTTAAAATCTTCAAATAATATTACTACATTTACTATTCAAGTAATATTTTTCTTCCAATATCTATCATATCTTGAATACAAAATATTAATATTATATTCTTTTTTCTTTTTATATCTTCAATCTTAATTTAAATTTTCAACTATGTAGTTGAAGTGAATCAATGAACTACAACAATAAACTTAAAAGAAACACTCATTAGCAACAAACACTTCTAGAGCACAAAACTATCCTTTCATGTACTTAATTTACTCACTTAAAATACAACAACTATGCTCATTATTTCTCTTGTACTATACTTAAGTTTAGAGCATAGTCAGCAGGATTAAAGTAGTTTTATCCTTTTAGAAAAAATGATCCTAAACAGATCAACAATAACCTTAAACTATTAAAAGTTGGCAAGGTTGGACCTAAGAGGAATCCACAACCCTAAAAATTTGCCCAGTTGTTCCTGACTATTATATCCCAACCATGTTTCACAAAAACTCCCTTAAGGTTTATCTATGCAGTGTCGAAAATATACATACTTTGAAGGTGTGCCGTGTGTAAGATCTCACATACTATTTTCTTTATAAAGAATCTAAGTTGTGACGGGATTTCAGTGTAAAAGAAATGAGGTGAGTGGGCATTCTCATTCGTCATTTTGCACTTCGGCATCCATCGATTCTACTCTTCAGTATGGCAGACGCCCTTTTATCCACACCTTTAGCAGCTCATAATCATTGCCCAAAACCCAAATATCTGCTTTTGTCATTTGCTTTTCTAGCAATTGGGAAAGATCTTGCGAGCGATGTTTGTGATCTGTAGCGGCACACCGCGCTCCAGCGCTCGCCAGGATAGAGAGATGATTACGATACAGAAACAAAAAGACGACGACGCAGTGGAGTCGCTTGCGCTAAAATCTGTGGGTCGATTTCGAAACCGTGGTCTCTGGAGGTGTTGCGCATTCACAGCCTGAGCGTGTTGGGTTACCTGAGTTGTGAGAATTGAAGGTGGTCGCCATCGTGGTTGGTTGGTGCAGCTTTTAGTGGAGAAATTTGAAAGCTGGGGATATTTGCACTCTGTTTTTCCATAGATTTCTTGGGATTTTTGAGCTGGGCACAACCTCGAATCCGCTGTCTGAGCGCGACCTGGTTAGCATTTTTGCGCATTTTTCTGATGTCTATGAAATCTGCATCGTCATTGACGCTGTAGATATTTTCTGACCAGCGCTTTGGTAGTCGTTATTGATGTGGTCTGAACAACTGATGCCAATGTTGTCACAATCGACACATTTTCGGGCGCAAATTGCAGTCAGGGGTGGTTAGGTAGTGAGATGCGGCCTTCAGAGTTGAAACTCTAAGCCAAGGTAGTCTTCAGTTGAAACTTTAACAGGGGGACAATGCCGTATATGCAATTGGCTCGGCATGTTCCATCTACGGATACTTTCCGGCAATTTTCAGGCCCAGTTTTAGCTGGCAAGAAAGCTGTTCTTCGAGATCAATTGCGGCGTTCACCTAAGAATGTTTCTTCGGGATTATCTTCTCCGAGTGTCAGCAATCAAACAGGATGTGAACCTTGGACTGTCTCACCGAGTGTTCAGAGTGAGAGGCCACGATTTACAGCTGTTGCAGCACTGGGTCCAAGTCAAACCCTGGGGGTGGAGCCGGATCCCTCCTTGGATGAGGTTAGTAATGGATTCTTTCCCAATTTATGGACCTCGTCAGAATGTCAACTTTTTTCCGTGCAGCATACAAATTGGCATGAGCGAATCGAACCGATCATTCGAGCTACGCTTCCCTCCTTAAGGCAAATGACAAGGCCATGTTCTGCATCTCTTTGACAGTGAATTGGATGTTGTTGGGATTAGGGTACGACGGAGAAATGGCATGAATGGCTCGCTTTTGCTACCAGCTTGTATCCCGTGTACATGCTGGTGGGTGGGTTGATCGCGTTCTGGAGACCGTCAGCTTTTTCATGGTTTGTGAAGAGAGGACCGGATTCTTATAGTGCTGCGTTGGGAATCATTATGCTTTCGATGGGTTTTACCATGCGTATCGAAGACCTGCTTTATGTCCTCACCAAACGGCCTGTGGCGGTAACATGCTTTCTTGTGCCGCAACTGCCATTGCCACTCTATGGCTGGCCTGTCACGAATGCGTGATTTTGTTTCAATCAGGGATCGAATCCGCCAGTGTGCATGCTTGAACTGAATCTGGCAAGCTTGCTTCGTATCGAAATTCATGTTTGCTACGCGACTAGACGATGCTAATTGTTGCTAATTACTCCAGGTTGTCTTTGGATTCGCGGCCCAGTACACCATAATGCCACTCCTGGGTTCTGCGTTGTGTCGCTTGATGGGCCTTCCAGCAGAGATTGCAGCAGGAATTATACTTCTGTCGTGCTGTCCAGGAGGCACAGCGTCGAACGTGGTATGCATCATCTCCTACTGGTCGTGATACTGTTGAATCGATCTTGTTCAGAGAGACCCTGCATACGTAAAGTATGTATCAATGTTTGTGGAAGTTGACATGATAAATTCGATGTGACTTGCTTTTAAACAGATTATATTTTTAAAGTGAAATCTGATTCAGATCTTGTGTTGAACGGACACTAGGTGACCTACATCGCACGGGGAGATGTGCCACTCTCCATCCTCATGACTATATGTACCACTTTCGCGGCAGTGTTCATAACCCCCTTACTTACAAGCATTCTTGCGGGAGTTTATGTACCTGTTGATGCGATTAGCATGGCTTTGAGTACATTACAGGTACCGCGCTGAGCATATGATTTGATGCCATCACTTGTGTCTGGTTTAACAGCTCCCTGTCTAGAGTTCGGTAAGGTGACACCCAGTAATGTCGAAGGGCGAGGGGTTGAGCAGCTTCTCCGCCGTATATTTGTCCTGAAGTGTTTCATCACAATTGTGTCACGCTAACCGTCAAGACGTTATGTACAGGTAGTTCTGGTTCCAGTCATTGCCGGTGCGTGTATGCAGACTTTCTTCCCCCAAGTCGTATCTGTCATTACTCAGTTTGCCCCTCTGATCGCCGTTCTGATCTCCTCGTTACTCGCTAGTAGGTACTTCCTCCTGCCTCACCTCTCTTTTTACAGCTTGGCTAAATGAATGCCGGATCCTATGAATTCCGAATAGTCCTGCTGTTTTCCACAATCTATTGACACCGCGACTTCCCCCCAATGTTGACAGTGTCTTCTCAGCCAACATCCCACTTCTAGTGGCCTCTCCTATGAAGATGGTATCCATTCTGGGAAGCGCGACATCGGCCATGGATCCAGCAACGACAACTCAACCAGTGATCGTCACCCTGGGCATCATCGGAGGCGTCGTGATGGCTCTGCACGGCGCAGGTTTCCTTCTCGGGTACTAATCCGCCATCAATCCTCATACGCAACTATCTTTTTCTCTATTTTATTCGAACTGGTAACGATCAATACTCTGCAAGGTGCCAAAAGGGCACACGTTGTATTCCCATCCAGGGCAATATTGTGACAAGATGGACCCACCTGTGCGTTGCTTTGCACAGCTATGTCGCTGCCAAGGCAGCTGGATTCGAGGAGCCGCAGCGACGCGCGGTGTCGATAGAGGTCGGAATGCAGAATTCCTCCTTAGGAGTGGTCTTGGCCACCATGCACTTTGCTTCGCCGCTGACGGCGGTCCCAGCTGCCGTCTCCGCGATGTTGATGAACATCATGGGGAGCGGATTAGCTGTAGTCTGGCGAAACATGGGCTTCGGTAGCCACGCCGCGACGACGGCGCTCGTCCACGATGACGACGACGGCACTGTGTCGTAGCACGCCCCTGCTCAAACCTTGAAGCATAAGTTGAGGATTTTTTAGGTGATTATTTCAAAAAATTATAAATATAAATATAAATATATATATACATGTGTGTGTGTGTGTGTGTATGTATGTATGTATGTGTACATAGACATATATTCATGTCAAGAAAAACTAATTGAAAGAGGACACTTGCAATGATTGGCCACTTCACATTTGATTGATGACAGTTGTAATTGTCAATGTGTAGATTGTAAAATGTGCAATTAAGTTTGTGGGTAAAATTGTATAGTGACAACTGAATAAGTGTCTCTGGGAACAATGATTTGATTTGGGTGACTTGTAGATAATGAGAAATGTGTATAGGGTTAATATGGTAACAATTGCATTAACAAATATGATTTATTACAATATTTGGAGTATTGATATATAACTAGGTTACATAATCTTTGTAATCAGATCGTTATAAATATAATCAGTAAAATAAATGAGTAAGAAGATGATTTGAATTTTTTATAATTTTTTTAAGTATAATTTATATTGATATTTTACTGTGGAAGAATATAACTAATTTGGTTTTTGATTTTTTTGCTAAAAACCCTTAGAAATCTAAAAATAAAAATAAAAATAAAATTTGATATAAATAATTTTATTACACTAAAATTTCTAAAAAAAAATTTCTAACATCTTACTGAATCCAAAATGTTAAGCAATAGGAAAGTTTTAACATGTGAAGAAAACACAAAGTTGTGTTCATTTGTCAAGAATATATAGTTGTTTCTCAAAGTAAAGGATATTGTCTTTAAACTTAAATTTTCTTTGTATCATCTTCAATGTTGCTGGTATGTTGTTTAATGTCAAATACAAGAGAATTTGTAGTCAATGATCTACAAATCTTATTAGAAAGTAAAGAATCTACTACAATTGACAAAGTGGTAGCTCAAAAGCATAATTGCCAGGATTTTAAGAATATCATTTGTTGTTGGTCATATGTTGCCTTTCACACTTTTGGTTCAAGGTATAATTCCTTAGACAAAGCATTTGACAAATCTTGTTGTTTTTTATATTGACATGTAATATTGTAGTAAAAAGAGGCTAGAGACATATTCTACCACCTTGGAAATAATTCAAAATATGAGAAAATATGAAATATTTATGATTATTGTGATTTGTATATACAATCAATCAATGTGAAGCATCTTCAAGCAAATAATGCCAATCTTCAAAAAAATCTACAATAGCAAGGATTTCTTTATTATTATGATTAATCTTGACATCTAAAATTTTTTTAGAATAAAATGCAATTCAGTAAAGTTTCTTGTTTTTTTTGCTTTTGTAATAACATAACTTTTAGCGCAAAATCCAAGGCATCAGTTTCTATAAAAAAGAATAAATAAATAAATAAAATTTTACAAAATCTAGATATATTAAGATTATAACTATAATCAAATTTATTATAAGGTCTTAAAAACCATTATCTATGAGAGGCCTCCAATTGAATTTATTCTTGTATGTCAACCAAGTAAGTAAAATAGCTACTTTAGAATTTTTTTTAATAAATATTAAGTAAAAATTAGCAAACATAAATAAATATATATATATATATATATATATATATTTTATGTCTTCTATTGTCTTGAAGATTGTATAATATTTCATAAATCTAATTGTTTTTAGATCCATTAATAAACCTTCATTATTATGATATATCCAAGAAATTCTACTTTTAGCCAATAGTATACATATTTCTTTAATTTGGCATATAAAGGTGCATATCTTAATTTTTGTAGTACCAATCTTATATGTTTTTTTTGTTTTCTTTAAGTTTTTTTTAAAAGATCAAAGTATTATCAAAAAAGCAGCCAAAACAATTATCTAAAAACTCTCAAAAATATCATTTAATAAATATTGGAATATAATTAATGTATTTTTTGGTCCAAAAGGCATAACATTTAATTCAAAATGCTTATTTCTTGTCCAAAATTTTTTCTTTTATTTGTCTATTTTTATTTTTGTGTACTAAATTATAAACTACATATGATTCAATTTTTGTTTAGATTTTTGTTTAACCTGGTTGTTTAAGAAATCCTAATATTAATGAAAATAGATAATAATTCTTTAATATTTACTTTTTTAAACCACAATAATTAATTCACATTTGTATGTATCCATTCTACTTCTTGACAAAAAGTATAGATGCTCTAGCTAGTGATTTTAAAATTTCAAATAAAATTCTTAAAATTTTTTTATCAATGTATTCATGTATGGCTATTAAATTTGTTTATAAAAGATCATATATTTGTCCAAATAGAAATGGAGCTTAATTTTGCAATTCTATGATACAATCACGTGGCATTGTATAATGTGAAAATCATCTTAAGAATGCATTAAGCATCTAATTATAAAAGAGTTTGATTTGACATGGAAGTTGGATTTATAATCCAAAAACAATGCATAAGATATTTAGAAATATTTTTTTGGCAACCTTGAAGAATATAAATAAGCTTCCAATTATGCTAAATATATCTTATCAATCTTAAAAGAATATGAAAAAAATCTTATCATACTTTAATCAACTCTAAATAAATCTTAAAAACTCTTTAACAACTCTAATCAAATTCTAAAGAAATCCTAACAAATTTTTTATTTATTTTAAAAAATCATAAAAAAACATTAAAAAATCATTAAAAAAATCCTAAATAAATCATAAAGAAGTCTTAAAGAAATCCTAAAGAAAACTTGAAGAAATCTTAACAAAATTTAAACCGTTCTTAAAAAAACCTAATTAAATCCCAATCAAATTTTAATTGAATCCTATTCAAAATCTAGTTAAATTTTAAGAAAACCTTTAAAAATCCTAATAAAAATATAAATAAATTCTATAGTAAATTAAAACCTCAATAATTATTAATTTATTCATTGATATTTATTTAAAAAAATTATACTTCTAATTTACTAATTGACAATAAGTACACAAAATTTGAAGAGACCAAATTCAAAAATTGAAAAACAATTCTTATAATCCATGGTTGTGTTATAACTTGGCTATAAGGTGAAAGAAAAAAATATAAATCATTTAAATTGAATAGAAAAGAAAATAAAAAGAGAAAGAAAGGAGATATCTAATGATTGCTTTAAAGAAGGGGATATAAAAAAGAGAAGACAATACTTAAATTTCCATATAAATTGGTTATATAAAATAATATATATAAATGGTATGCTTAGTAGACATGTGATGGGTTAAGAAATTTGATCCTATAGGTGTCCAATCTCATTGCTATAGTTTATAGTACAACTCTATTTTGTTACTTATTATTGTTGGTTGGAATAATCTTAATATTCAAAAAAGTCCTTTTATATGAAGGATGTACCTATGTGTAAGCAAAGTTGTAAAATTTTATATTAGATAATTTTTATTTTTTGAAATAATATTAGCAATTACACTTGTAAATTCAAAAATTAGATACCAATTAGGATTTTGGTGGTACATACTGTAGAATGCACTTAGAGCTTTGTTGCCACATGCATCCATCCAAAGAAAGTTTTAAACGATTCTAAGAAGTACTAAAACTTTTTTGAAGGTCTTAAAATAATCTAAAAGATCTTGGAAGGTTGTAGAAGGTGCTAAGTTGTTAGACTCCCAAGGAATATAGAAAGTTCACAAGAGAAGGTTCTTAAGGTTTCTTTACAACAAAGTAATAAAGAAGCTATTCAAGAAGCATCTTAGAATGACTTGGGAATAAAGCCTTTCACTAAATGTAACCTAAAAGCTTTCTAATTTTTCATATATATAGTTGTCAACGTTGAGAGATTCCTTAGTTTCAACAACTTATGTCTTATGATTTAGTTTGGACCTTCTAGTCTTGTTTTTATTCTATATTATAGTGTTTGTCTATAGATATTTAAGAATTAATTCAAAGTAACTTTTTTTGATAAAAGATAAAACTAAAAAAAATACCAAGTGTAATTAGATTATTATTTATACATAAATAAAATTTTAAAATCTATAAATATTGAAACTATATAGGATACAAAAGTCGTTTCCACAATCAAATTTTATATTCACAATATATATTTTTATATTGCATTATTGCATATAATCATTAGTTAATATAATTACAAAAGTATTATTAGATACTCAATATTATCTTTTATATAGAAGATGTTTTTAAAAATATTTTTCAAGTCTACCTTAACTTAACAAAACAAATTGCTAATCACTTAATGAATACACAAAGAAATAAATGATTTACAATCCATATGTCATATATTCCAACAAAATTAAAAAATATTTTTAATAAAATTAATTTATTTAATAAAAAATAAATCATGTTAAATTATATAACTTCTATAAATAAAAAAGACCACAAAAAAATAATCACCTTTATTAATAGATCAAGAATTTTACAAAAAATTATTTATTTTTAAAATTTTGTAAGTATATTTTACACAAAAGTCACAAATTATCTTAGATGTTGGTTCTTTTAGTATTATAACTTTATTACTTATAGATAAAATAAAAATCTATCTTACTTTTATAATTCCATTTGATCCAAATTTTTATTTTAATTATTGCATCACTAAAGAACTAAATTTAAAAAGATTTCTAAAAATTTCTAGAATAATTATTTTGGAAGATAAAACCAATAGTTACCATGATTTCTTTTTGAGGTTACAAATATATTTTAATTCAATAATACTAAAATTAAAAAAAATATATCATAAAGTTATTTATATTAGATAATGACTTTAGCTAAAAAAATTCCAATTTTCTACTATAGAACAAAAATTCAAGTTGTTAGTAAAATCTTAAAATCTCCTCATTAATGGCCATTGATATAATAAATGCATCTTATAATCAATAAAAGAGTGTATTAAGCTATTAACATCAAAAACATAAAAATATAGAACTTATATAGTATTAGAAAAGGAAAAAAATCTAATTATATTAATTATGGAATTTAGTATGAAGATATTAGGAATATGAATTGCATTTTTATGTGTTAAAATTTCTTAATATTATTTTCATTAATAAATTTCCACCTCACTACTAAAAGCTAAATGTTAGAGCTCTTTTTAGTAAGTCATAACACTTTTACATAGTTTATGCAATAAAGTATATTTTATTATAAAAGAAACTATGTCATGTATAGTTGTTATTAAAATTATAATCAAAAATCTAAATTAAAAAATAAGACTTAATTTTAATAATAAACTTAGAACCTTTAGATATATAAACTGCTCTTAAAATCATAAAATGTTAAAAATTAATAAAAAAATTCGTTAACATGAAAAGTAAAAAATGTCAAGGACAAATAATTATTGGCTTGGGGTTCTACTTTTCAAAACTAGTTTATTTCTTTAGGCAATTATACAGTAATTTATCACAAACTTTTTTTTTTAAAATCATTATTGTATCATTAAATGATAAATATTATGGATACACTAAAATAATTTTTATCATAGAATACTCAAAAAATAAAATTTATGTTTTCTACCTTAAAATATATATATATATATATATATATATATATATATATTTCTTCTTAAATTAAAAGAGGGGTATATGGTAATATACAACTATCTATCTATATATCCATTTAAACTATATATATATATTTTTAATATACTTCAATAAATTTCCAAAATATATTATCTCCAAAATAAAGCAAAAGACTTCAATTTTAATATTAAATTATATATAATAATGGTAGTTAATTATATTAAGTTGAATAGCTAATATTAATTTATAAAAATCACATATTCTAGATTTAAGACCTAAATTATTGTTATAATTTTTTATATATAAAATCAAAATTACAAAAAATTAAATAAATAAAATTTTAAATTATAATTTTAAAATATGGATTAAATAAAGGAATAGAAGAAAATTCGATTAAAAATTATGTGTTAGTATAAATGAATTTGATATCAAAATAAATAAATAAATTATCAATAATTATAAATATTAATATAAAAAAATTAAAATAGTAGATTAAGATAATTGTTGAATAGATAGCAAATAGTTTTTTAAATGAAATGCTTAAAATTCTAAAGAAATAATAGGGCATATATTATAAGGTACTCAATAGATTATAGTATATTCTTCTAAAAATATTCTTGTATTATATCTTAATACTTAGAATATAATCTTGTAGGATATAATCTTGTAACACTTCTTGTTTAAAATAGAAGCATATTTTTTTAATTATTACATGTCATAAAAATCTAAATTATTTAAATAAAATAGTAAGTATAAGTAAAAATAAGTTAGATAAATAATATATCCTTATAAAATTTTAGAATAGCTTCTAGGACTTAAGTTAGATATAAATGTATTATTTGATGCAAAATATAATCATAAAATTTTGATATAGAATTTATCAAGATCTATAAAGCTGTTATTAAAGTTTTTTATAGTTTAGATACTTGTCTTCCAAGTAGCACATTTTATAGTATTCTAAAATATTATAGAACCCTCTAAAAGCTTCATGAAATCTAATTGCAATTGAATAAATCATTGAGCAAAACAAAACAAAAAAAATAGCTTAGTCTTGCTAACACAAGTTTTAAAAAAATCCAAATATTGTTGTATTTCTAGTCTTATGTCTAGTCTGATTTCTAATCTAAGAAAATTCTTTTTGATGCTACTTGATTTCTTAATACTTTGCCTTTGCATATGTAACAACTCATATATAGTTGCTCAAAAAATGATCTAAGTTGTTGTGAGACCAAATTTCACCACTTGATGAAACCTATGCCACACAACAAGTCCAAGAGGTGGAATTGGAGAGCTCCCAATTGTGTAATTGTTAGACTAATTTAAATCTTTATATTAAAAATTAAATTAGTTTTAGGCCTTCCAAGCAATGGTTACCAACATTAAATTAACATGTTAAATTAAATTTACTTAGCAAACACAATCAAAATAATTAACTAAGTTATTCCTATTAATTGACCATAAGAATAAAAACTTAAGTTTGAATTAAAAGCTAAGTTAAAAGTTAAGTTAAAAAAAAATTAAAGTTAAAAATTAAGATTAAAATGTTAAGTTAAAAGTTAAAATTAAAAGTTTAGTTTAAAAGTTAAATGTTAAAAATTAGAGTTAAAAGTTAAAGTGAAAATATTAAAGGTTAAAAGTTAAACTTAAAATTTATTAGCCAAAAAGTGAAATGTGGAGCTTACAAGTCACTATGAAGGCGATAGTAAAAATAAAGTGAGAGAGGTGAAAGCGAAGGTACCTTGACAACACTTAAGGATTGAAGGCAGCGACCCCCTTCTACTCCAAAATTTGCCAAAATTTGTAATCGGCTTCAATTTGAATGATTCTTAGCTTTTTGCAAGGCTGACTTGAAGGCGCTTTTGATCCAACAATCCTCGTTGCAATCTAATGATCCAATCATGAGAATTTCTCCTTTGAAGTTGAGTGATCCAAACTGCCGCAGTGACCAACCCTCTTCACTTAGAAATTCACTAAAAATTCAGATTGTCTTTAAATTCACCAAAACTTATGCCTTTCAAAGCTTAGCTTATAAGGCTTGATGATCCCAAAATTTCAAATAAATCCAATTAGCAGACACTGAGAAATGCCTTTCCAAACTCGATTGATTCAAACTGCAAAGGCAGTCGACTCCCTCAAACTCAAAACTTCACCAAAAATTCTTTCTTACTCCAAATCAAGCAAGTCTTATCTTGTTGGAAAGCTAACAACAAAATCTACAACTAATCAAAATCTCACATTGAAAAAACAGAAATTGAGTGACTGATTGAAGAAAATCTGAGGCCCTTGAAACCCTTGAGGGTATTTGAAAGGCCGAGGAGATATCTACCTCAATGAAACATATTTTAAAACTTAATTACCATCCTTCACAATGCAAAATCCATACATACACAATCACAAGGTTCACAATGAGATTTAAAATCTAAATAAAATTAAGTTTAGGATTTTGGCCAAATTTTGGCATGGCTCCGCCCTTCACCCAAAAGAGGAAAGAGAGAGGGCTTGGAAAACCAAGCCTCTCTTATACAATTGAGTGGAGGCTCGTAGAAGAGTGGCTACATCTCTACCCTTGATTTTTAAGATCCTTAATCTGGATCTACGGCTTTCATTCATCCAAAAGCCAATCTCGTTACCAAGGCTAATGGCTCTTGTAAGTGGTCAAAAAAGTATTTTTTTTGTAAATCTAACTTCATTATTGTGTTCAAAACACCTTTTTAAGCTGAGATCAACTACTCACATGCCTCAATCCATGCTCAATTATAATTTTCATGGAAGTTTTTACTCACAAGGGTCTTGGCAATTTTTGTGAAATTCTTCAAAATGCGAATTTCATTGCTTTTCTTGTATTTTGAAGGAGAGGATGGTGATCTTGTTTTCTTCACTCCATGAGATATATCCGGTGCCACCATTGCATTAAAAAGACTCCCATTAAGTAGAAGAACCACCATGCTGCTTGAATTTGTCAAATTTGGAGGAAAATCCAAAATTATCATTACTAACTTCCCTAAATCTTTTACAGAATTATAATTCCAACTCCTAAATCATGTGAATGATTTTAGATGCACTTATAGGCTTTTAGTCAATCCTTATAGTAATGACTAACAACCTCTAAATTATTAAACTAACTAAGTTGCTATTCTAATTCTCTAACTCTTATCGCTTTAGTCCTAATTAACCTAATTCAAGGAATTAGGCTATGATTTATACCATCAAAGGTTGTAATCCTAAAAATTCTATAATCAGTTCTCAACAATCACCCTACATGTTCTACATGCTTCTGTTAAAATACTAACTGCAAGTTAACATGCTCCAACCCATCCTGCAAGGATTTTTCAAGCTAAACCTACATTGTGATTAAACCTACATTGTGATCAGACTTGTAGTTATATACACCAGGATTGTCATATTCTTAAGGGAATTCAACACCATGCTGCAGAACATGAACATTACTACAAAAAAAAAAAAAAAAAAAAAGGGGGGGTTCTATTTTCATCACCGTTTGCCCATTACACCAGACTTGTTTTCTGCAAGAGGAGCACTTGTAAGAGGTGCAATTTTCTTATGTTCTGCACCTCACGCCTGTATGTTGTACATTTCTGAGCTATTTGCAGCCATCGCTCACTCCAGTAAGCTTTAATTTGGGTATCAGGACCAGGATTTGAAGCAGTGGATTTAAATCCAAAAACTCAGTGTGAATGTACCAGCGTCTAGTTTTACAAGTGGATTAATTTCCTGCAATGGAATCTGTAATTAATCGTGATCGTCAAAGTCGTGCAGATATACAATTGCATGGTCCCTCAGGAACCTGGTTTAAGACCTATAATCTTTCATGCCTATGATGTATATGTTTGAACTACCATGTGGATTGTTGTAGTAAAGCTACACTTTATACAACAAATCTGGGCATCTAAGAATGTTCACCACGTGTACAAACTGGTTATTATCGCATTCGGCAACACATAATAGAGCTGTGGACTGAAACAGCTGGATTCGACAGATTTTCTCATACAGATCAAGGCAAAAAATGTTATGATTGAGCCCGGGACGGAATGCTCTCATCACTCACAACAAAGATTGCTGCAAACAAATATATGTATGTATGTGTGCGTGTGTACCTATTTTGTGATTTTGAACCACTATCACGGGCAGTGTCAATAAAAACGCACGTAGCAACTTCAAAATTCTCTTGCAGGCATCTTTAAAACTTTTTGATGAAGGAATTATACGACACACACTACATTGATTTAAAAATCTCATCTTCACACGTAGGGAACAAAAGTTGTTAAAAAATAGGTCTTGTCGGTATCGAACAATGATGTGAATCATTTATCATTAGATGAATACAGCAGGGATCCCTACATTGCTTGAAACAGTACAGACAGCATCGCAGCCACCTCCCAATGCTTTGAATCCAAATAGCAATAAAAGGCCCTCTGAAACCTCTGTCGTGTTCACGACAACCACAGCCTGCAACTGCGCTTCCAAAACAAATTGTAGAGATAGAAAGAATATCTGACCGCAGTAAGCAAACAGATGGGTGGCTTTTCAGGAAGTTTGCACATGGTCTGCTGCTTTCGGCGGTTGATGAGCACCAGCTACTTTTTGAATGGGCACCAGGGCTAGAGCACCACCATAAATATCAGGGATCTGGTCTTGCTCGATCTCATCTCGCAATCTGCTCTCGAGTTGCTTGTCTTCTACAAAGGCAATCTGAAAAGAGACCCACAGGAAGGCGGCGCAAATTGGGTTAATACGCATCAATTCTAGCTACGTCCTGCAAAGCACAATTGGAAATTAACAAGCTCGATCCAAAAACCAAAACTATCTCTTTCATTGATGAGTTTCCGGCGTCGCATACGTAGGTTACGATAGTTTCTATAAGTTTACAGATTTCTACGCATGCGTTTCACAACTTCAATCTCGAGTATCTACGGAATGCAATTACGGAGTACGAAACGGGGCTTTCACCTTTTCCCTCGTGACTTTATCGATGAAAGGATACACGAGCTTCCATGCTCCCCAAAATACTTTTGGCACATGGATAATGAAGAGTCTCCCTAACCTCTCCGGGTAGTATGCCTGCATCATCATCATCACCATGAACAGGGCTTGAGTAGGATCGTAAAACACGCAACGGTGATGAGTAGAAAATGATTATGGTTAACGCGGTTGGTGCGGCCCGTCCCGACTATGCCTAAGTCGACACACAACAACCCTACCATATGCATTTAGATGCAAAAGCATGTACACCAAATACTCTTCTTTGACACTAATAATCATGTTTTAAGTTATACTAAGCAACTTATTGTACGGTATTAGTGTTTGGTTGCATTTATGATAGCGTGTTCTTGGAGAGCGACAGTTTAACAACTTCCATGCACAGCACTTAAGTCGAATCATTTTATGCTCTTCAAAGCATTTTTGATTTTAAAATGATTGAAAGATGCGCCAGCTGGCACATAATATTAAAACCAACCTGCAAAAAATCAAAGATCGAAATCCATCCTCGGACGTCCACATTTTTAAAGGCCAAACCCTTCAGGTCGAGAATGACAGTGAAGGTCTCATTCCCAGGTTTCATGCTGCACAGGCAATCACAACAGAACTCATTCGTACCCCTAAAGCATTAATCAGAAAAATGGTGTAAGTATATAGCAACTAATCTTGCACGCAAACTGGAGTACATTCAAGCCAATCTAAATAGTAGTATAAGAAAAGTCTTTAGACAGGACAATGAATGAGGAATCATGATTCGTACCTGCCCACCAATGTGTCGAAGCTGAACACACAAAAACCTGCACACAAAAATTCATGAAATGCGCGTGACCAGAAAGATTTCAAAGATTACTGAAAAGAATGGACTTATTAAAGTGAACAATATCAATTACGCTACACTTCACCTAAAAGAAACTACTAGGACAAACACTACTTGCTTAAGGCCAAAAGCAAAGCCAGAAATTAGTCAAGTTATGTGCGGACTCAAGTTTTAGAATCCAATTCGTTATTGTTTACTTAATCTTCTGTTGACACTATTGCTATTAGAAGATACCAAGAAATAACTGCATTCTTCCATTGCAATAATTACAGCAGCTGAGAAGAAATCTAATAGACGATATTTCGTTCACATAACCTTTTTCATAAAAAAAGATGATATAGAAGAAAAAAAAAGTTAGTGTTGTTCCGGTAAACATTTGTGATTAATGCGAAAGCTGTAGTCTCCGATCAGGGCTCTAGACTAAAAGTAGAGCTCTCCTTTCCTTAAAACTTTGTTTAATCCGGTATATACAATCGCAATTCCATTGAGCAACCGATAACATTTCATAGGTAAAGTTAATATTTGGACGACCCATAACAAGATATCTACCAACTCACGTTTAAATTCATCAAAGTTGCGTTTGCTGGCCTCATGTTTGGCTGCCATAAGGACAACTATAGGTCGACCTTTGATGTCACTCCCCTGTAGAAACACTTTCTCAGCATCTAGCTCGTTCTTAATCTGCAAAATGTTAACACCTTTATTCAGGTAAACCTGAGTCGTTAAGAGCAAAGTCTGGAGTGAAGAAGAGTGAAAATGACTTGCCAGCCAATGTAAATCAGTGCTGAATAAGTCACCTCTTCTTGTGGAATATAACCTAGCGGCAAAAATGAACGCCGCCACTTTTGATGATCCACAAACATTTTGACTGCTTTCGAAAGTTTCCATGATCGAGCCCTCAAAAACCTTCTCAGCGTAGCTTCGTCTGTGTCCTGAAATCAGAACACCTACATTTGTAAGTTACGTGGTGGACTGCATTTCCCAAGTTATTGGTCCATGACAACACATGCAAGTGTCTTGCTTGCAATGAAAGATATTTTTTCAATCTATAATCCGATCTCCAAATACTTTTTATTCAAAATTTGACTCCTTCCACGCTATCGTCAGTGATACACTTTTCAACACTATTTAGAAAAAGCACAGTTTTGGTTTGATATATATATATATACGAACATTGAATGTAGGATAAAGTGAAACATGCCTTCGATTTTGGATCCACCTCGGCAATTTTAGCTCTCATCTCTTCAAGAACTTTCAGTTCATCCACCTTTCCAGCTACTGTCTCTAAAAATATGGCAAAAAAAATCCAATACAACATTCTCGATTTGTCATCAAGACACTCGCACATTATGAACCAAGCTATCAAATGTTATAAATATCACAAGTAAACAAGTGTATACCTACTGCAGTGGAAGAGCTAAGATAGTGTGGACTCCTTCGAAATGCAATATTGATAAGGGATTCTCAGTGAAGAATTCGAAATTGAGATATTCACATCATTGAAGAAGCAGAAAGATTGAACTTCACCATATTAACTACTTTCTTCTTTTTTTACTTTTTCTTTTTTTTTAAAAAGAAAAATCTGATATTTTTCAAAATGCAAGTTGATAGCGGCTAGCTTAATCATACTAAAAATAGTTCGAAGGACACACCTTGCTTTTCGACAATCTCTTTTGCAGACTCCTCTGTAATCTGAGTACCTACAACACCTTGGTTGGAGTCTTCAAGTGTGGGTTTGGCATCATCTGCATTCTTCAGAACGGCGTCCAGTGAACCGTTTGCAGGAACAACACTGGGTTCCGGTAAACTTTTCCTTGTAAAATCCTCCTTTTGAAGAGCGACTACATCTTCATTCAACTTAGTAATTGCTTCTTCATCTGACTTAACTTGTGATGATTCATAAATCTCAGAGTTACCTTCAGTGGCAAGGATAGGGGCTGCTATTACCTCGGCAACAGTCTTCGTCAATGCAGGTACCTCTGGTTGACTCGGATTGTGAGCTTGAGACGTTTCGCCAACACTGGAAGTCATTTCCTTAGTTGAACTAGATGATTCTAGGGACTTCTGAACTACCTCCGTTGTAAGTGCATCCTGGTCCTGCTCCTCGCTAAAGACAGCTGAACCAGCAACAGGTTTTAGTGGAGGGCTCTCTTCAGGTTCTGGGTTTCCAACAGGCGTAGCCAACTCAGTCTCCTTGTATTCGGCAGGTTCATCAGTTGTTTCAACAGGTGTAGTCACGTTCTCAGTTTCCTTGTCTTTGACAGGTTCACTAACTGAGGCCAACGTCTCCACAACAGTGGGTGAATTGACAAGCTCAGGAGTGTTCACCTGTCCTTGCTGGCTTTTAGTAATCGAAAGCTCAACATCTTTCTCGCTAGCAGATACGAAGACGGCAGTAGGGGCCTCTGAAACAGACGGTGCATCCACAAGCTCCGCAGTAGATGACTGTCCTCCTTGCTGGCTCTCAGCATTGGGAAGCTCAACCTCTTTAACATTTGCAGGTCCATCAACGGCGGCCGGAGTCTCTGAGACAGTGAGTGCATTCACAAGCTCTGGAGTGTTCACCTGTCCTTCTTGCTGGCTCTCAAAATTGGAATGCTCAACCTTTTTATCATTTGCAGGTCCATCGATGGCGGTCGGGGTCTCTAAAACAGAGGATGCATCCACAAACTCCGTGGGGCCTCTATGTTCTTCTTGTTGGTTATCAACCCTGGGAAGCTCAGCGTCTTTACCATTGGTAGGACCATTAACCGTCGCAGCCATTTCTAAATCGGTAGGTGCATCCACAAACTCGTTATTGCTTATTTGTTTTGCTAGATGACCTTTGACCACAGGAATAGCATGTGCAGGAGACTGACTGCTGGGTACTGCATCTTGTGATTCATCCTCTGGTACGCCACTAACCTTTCACATCATCCCACAAAGAGTTAGTTGGACCAAAAAGTCATTACAGGAATATGTTTGTTGATTTCGAGAATCTAACTTAACACAACCATAAATCGTAGCTGCAATCTGCAGCCACCTCACCCAGACCTCCACCAAGCGTCACCGCAAATTACATGTGCAATATAACATTTTATTTGAAGTCATCACTCTTGTCTGTAGGAAAAAGTCTGTCCCTTATACCTAGTAGTAGATTTCTTGTCTCAGGAAGCTTTATCAGATAGATATTATTATTGAAACAGGTTCAGATGCACCTCTAGGATATTCATTAAACTTTGATGCTGCGAAATCAAGCATTTGATCCCTTTTGAAGTCATTAACGAATGAGTATGTAGAGGCCATGGCTACTGGACGGGGCCGAAATCAGTTGTGGATACAATATCATTGGTTGCTCTAGTCCAACTAGATGCACATCACATTTCAAAGCGATCCTTTCAAAGAGCTCATCTGCTTTCCGCAAAAGCTACTGAAACATCCCACCTACAAAGCTTTTCCCAACCTAAGTCACGAAAACTGACTACAGACAAATTCTTTCCACATAAGTTTTCCTCTCAATTTTCCACACTCAGGTCTTGTGTCCAACTAATTGACTCTGCCTCCTTCCATTGAACAGATTAGGACGTTCTACACAAGAAACACCACGGGAATATGCTAGCCCGCTTTCGTCTAGAAGGGAGAGTTCTTTCAGCTATCAATACGACTCTAAAGACCGACCATCCATTATAAGGTAGAAAAAGATTAAATTTCGGATCAGGAAAAGTTGTGAGAAATCAAGGGAAGCTCTTTTTCGCCTAAACTCTACGTTCGGCCCCAGTGGTGCTGATGAATAAATCCACAACTTAGACTTCTTGAGGTCAACCCAGACATTCATGAGGATGTTGAGGTATTTGCATGTGTTCTCTTGCTTAGGAATGTCATTTGAAAATGTAAAGGAAAGAAAGATTAACGGGTGTAGATAAGGATGTATGGTTACAAATACAGAGCCACAAGATTTGTTTTTCCGGTTCATCACTCTCAACCAAAAATGCTCAGTGTCTGCAATTTATTAGTCCATTTCTAGTCTTGCTCTAACACGTTAATCTTCGGAACTTAGATGTAACTCCTGGGCAGGAGAGTAGAAGAAGAGTATTCTATAGGGAGCAAGCATCGGTTGCAGGTCTCCGTATCTCGAGTCTCTAAAATCTGCCCATCTCCTCCGTCAACTTTTCCTCCACACCACCCATTGCTCTATCTTGCCCATAGCCCGTCCCCATCCTGGGCCTTGTACACCGCGAGCGACCCCACATTCTAAAATGTAGTTACGTTGACAATCCACGCAAAAGCACAAACTCCTTCGACCGCAAGCACAATCTACTGAAGCCGTGAATATAAAAGAAGTTTTCGTGCCATCGGACACCGACAGAAACAACAAAGAAACACACACACACACACACGCGCGCGCCAGAGGAGGCATTGTTGAACCTCAACCGGATTTCAGGAATAGCTCTTTAAAAAAACAATACCTTGCTGGGTGGTGGTGGCAGTTCAGGCACAGTCGCTGCCGCTTGGACTGACGACCCATCACGCAACTCGGTACCTACCTGCACCATCATCACCGACATTACAACATCACAAAACTAAAATCTTCTCAAACATCACCCAAACTCCAATGCAAAAACCTGATCCTCCACCCTTCCCTCCCAATCCAAGCATCAAGACACGAAACAGCAACACTAGAAGAAGAAGAAAAACAAATAAATAAATAAATAAATAAATAAAGCTAAAAAGCTAAAAATATTAGTGACCCATACTTCATGCTCAGTAATCTCAGCAGCAGGGGTAGCAGTCGCTACAGCTTGAGACCCATCGCCCTGCATCTCTCTGAAGCACAAGAATGCAGAGCTGAGCAGTAGTGTTGTCAGAGGAGACTATGGCAGAGTCCACGAGCGAGGCAGAAGAACAGCTCCCCCTGAGCCAAAACCCAAGGCTGATCCAAGCAAACAGCAAGTCGAGGAGGAGGAGCACTGAAAAACAAAACTAACAAACAACAACCCACAACATCAAAGCAAAGTGAGCGAACGCGAATGAATGAATGAAAGAATGCATAGTACACCATCTCCAACGCTAAACAACGCAACGCCACACCACGGAACCACGCTGGCAAGGAGGCATCGGTATCGCTGGTCGGGCCGGGCGGGGCGGACTCGCCTCCCCCGACCCTTCCCTGCCCCCTCGCACCCGCTCTGTCACGTCCAGCTGTCTTGACTCCATTCGCCCATTCCGTCACGTTCTCATCCTCGATAAACGTATTCATCCGTTTCTGGTTTCATTCGTTGGTTCGTCCGTTTTGGGATGGACCCGCGCCTGTTCGCCACGTTCGCTCCTCTGGATTGATTATTTGCTGTGCGAGATTCCTCTTTGATGGTATTTTTTTACCTTCTATTTTATTCATCTGTGTATGTGTGGGTGTATATTTATACACAAATGTGTGGGATTATATGTTATTATATATATATATATATATATATATATATACATACATATGCCATTCGGTACCACAATCTGTGGCACTGCTGTCCATTTATTCCTTTGTTCATCCATGTTTGGTCAATGAGAACACTTCTTTATGTCTTTATCTTGTATTTCAGATAATTTATGAAAAAAACATTATATATATATATATATATATATATATATATTCTGAGCATAAGTAGGAACGTGATATGGTATTATGTTAATAGGATTATTTTTAGAATTATATTTTATGTTGTAATGTATTTTGAATATATGGATGTGTCTTGTGTAAATAATGTATTATTTATCAGTTGCATTTGCGTTGCTGGAATATGTATATATAAGAAAAATAAATTATATATGGCATGAATCCTGCCATGGAAGCAGTGGCGCTTTGGTTGATTTGATATGCCTTTAGATTTTTTTTTCAAAATTGGTATGTATGAGTTATTTCAATCGAGATTATTTGAACTTAATGTATCCAATATTGACAATTATCAGAAAATAGAGACTTTATATCATTAAGATATATATATATATATATATATATATATATACATAATTTTAATCCACATACATATATGTAATTTGTTCAAATTATGAATTCTGTAAGTAATTTTTTTTTAAAAAAAGAAAAAGAATTGTTAAGCTATAACTATGCATCTCTGCATATATACATTAAAATTCTAATTTATATTAAAAAATTATAATAATAGATTTTTATATAAATAATAATATTTTAAAAATAAAAACTAATAATATTTTTAATAAAAAAATTTCATATAATATGTCACAATTTTAAAAAAAAATTGAATAAAAAAGGATACCATAAGTTTTTATATATAAATCTTATTTATAAATTTACGTTAATCTTCTTAGTATAAATAAGAGTGTTATTATATATATATATATATATATATATATATATATATAGAAGTATGTTGAAGAAGATAATATCTATATATCACAATTATACACACATACACATATATATATATATATATATATATATATATATATATATATATATATTATATGAATTAGATAGTTATAAATTGAAATAATTACATATAATAATATCTTATATAGAATCTTTTTAAAGATTTACAAATGTAGACTTAACTTTACATGTATTTGTAAGTGATTGATAGGTTGAAAACTTAGCCTATAAGTTAGCTACTTATCTTGTATGTTGGCCACTTGTGGTACAATTTAGTCATGTTGTGTCTATATAAGAACGTTGTCTTGCAAGTTAGATATATGTCCTACAAGTTGCATACGTATTAGAGGTTTTATAGAATGTCGCCATATACCTTTTAATTAGATGGTATATTTAAAGATTAGAATAAAGACTTCTTTACTCTTGTTAATTCTTTTCTTAGTTCTAATCTAGTTTCAAGAGCCTCTAATTTTATAGTCTTTGAAAATAGCCATTCCAATTTTTTCTTAAATTTACATACCTTTTTATTTCATTTATGTCATCTTTCTCTAATATACATTTCACTTGTTTATTTACATTCTTTAAGTTCATGTCCTTGAAATATTGATAAGAATACACTTTTAATATTATAGCTTTGTCTTTTTTTGATTAAAAGTTGATAACTTATTTTTTTAAATAATACATAAGAATATTAGATTTTATAAATTACTTACTTTTAAACTAATATTATTTTTAGATTTTTCTTTATTCTTGAATCTTTTCTTATATTTTTCTTGAGTGATATTAATAATCTTTCTTTTTTATTATCTTATTATAGCATAACTCATTGAAATAAAGATCAAATTGATACAAATGCAAGAACAAATGTTAGAGCTAATGTTTATAATACATTAATTCAAATCACCACTATAAGAAGCAACAAGATTAACTAAAAGTTAAGATATAGAGATGATTAGATCTTCTTCAAAATCTACACAAAACTATATAACTTCTTCTATGGTTAAATATTGTGCAAGCATTAGAAAAAAAATATTTCTTTGCTCAAAAAATTTAATGGTACAAGATCAAAATTTCAAAGATTCATCAATAAAGTATAACTTATAGTTGAACTTCAACCTTCAAGTTATCCAACTCTAAGATCACAAGTTAAATTAATTAAGATACTATTTTTAGAAATTATTTTATAATATTTTTTATATTTTTAAGAATAATATGATTTAATATTAGATTTTTTTAGGTTTTTTTTGAAAAATTTTGATTTTTATATAGAGAATATTATGTAATTTATATTACAACCAACAAGACTTGTATTTTATATCAAAGAAAATTTTCAATAATTTTATATGTTTTATAATTTTAATAACTTATATTTGATATTAATTAATATGATGTTGAATTCATCAACCAATTTTCCTATGGATTACAAAATGAGGTAAAAATATTAATGCTAAACTAATTTGATCTTGAAATATTAAATCAAGAAATTAATTTTGCTTTAAAGTATAATAATCAATTTCTTAAATTTTGATCTAAGTGCAATAAAAATCTCCCTTAATTTTTTTATAATTAAATGGCAATATCAATATCTTTTCAATACACACATTTAAAAATAAAAGATAAGAAAATTAATGCAATAAATTTGAAACCTCTTAATAAATATTAAAAGACTTAATTATATCAAGAAGCATTATGCTTATATATAAATATCCTAAGTACACTTTTCAACATTATTCAAAGAAGTGACACAACTAGAAAATAATAAGCATAGATGTCAAAATACACAATATATTAGAAAAAATATTTGTTTAATTATAATAGAATTTGTTTGCCTATAATTATGTGGAATATCTACTAAAAATAATATTTTCTCTTTATAATCTTCACCTCATTTTACAATGATGTTTATTAAAGACTTAAAAATCAAAAAACTCTATATTTTTAGATTAAAAAATTTTAACTTATTTTTTTAGTTAAAGACTTTGTTAAAAGATACATAATATCTTTAATAAAAAAAACTTAATGTATGTAAAAATTATAAATATTTATCTACTATCTTTTAAACATATTATTCATGAAGCTATTCTTATAGATGTAGCATTAAATGGTCATAATAGCTTAGTAATATTTAAGATTATAAGATCAATTTGTATCTTGGTTATTTTAGGTTTATTTTAGTTAAAAAAAATAAATAAATAGATTGGATCTCTTGTAGTCTCAATTTTTTTCATTTCTTAACCAAGACTTTTGCTAATCAAGTAAAAATTCATAAGAATAATACAACCAAAGCTATACTTCTACTTGAAAGAGCTTTATGCATATTGTAAAAGAAAAGATACATGTTGTTATTTGTACCACACTTATTTTTAATGGTGGTAAGACTTCAAGTTTTACTTCAATATAGTTTAAAAATTATCAAGACAATTTTGAAAAGAATATTATTAACATTCTTTTAAACTTTTAAATTTGATTTTATATGTATTTGTAGGTAATTGATAGTTTGAAAACTTAGCGAACAAGTTTTTCACATATTATTCATGTTGATAACTTGTAGTATAATTTGGCCACATCATGTACATGTAAAAAAAAAATTCTTATAAGTTGGATACACATCAAAGATTTTATAGAATATTACTACATAGTTATCATAGATATATATCTATTGTAATTTTTATCTAAATAATATAAATAAGTAGAAGTAGGTAAAAGTAGATTAATTTTACAATACTTTTAGAAAAGCTTTCAAGAAGTTTATAGATACTATTTTGACTTTACATATATTTGTAATTGATTGGTAGGTTAGAAACTTGGTTAATATGCCAATCACATATCACATGTATTGATAGCTTGTAGAACAAGCTAATTATTTGGCATCCATATAGAAAACTTGCGTTGCAAGTTAAGATACATGTCATGTAAAGTCAACACATTTTTGGAGGTCCTATAGAACATTGTCACATAGATTTTAGGTAGATAATATATATATATAAGCAAAAATAAAGCCTTCTTCATTTTTATTAATTCTTTTTTGTTTTTAGTCTAGTTTCAAGAATTTCTACTTTCCTTGTCTTTTGGCAATAATCATTTCTATTTTCTTTTTAATATACATACTCCTATTTTTATTTTTTCATATTTCTTTGAAAAAGTCTCACTTATTTATTTCCTTTCATTGAATTCTTATCCTTGACAAATTAATAAGAATATAATATTGAAGTTTTTTTTTTTTTTTTTTTTCAATTAAAAGTGAATCACCTTTTTTTTTTATAAGACTTAAGCATATTAAGAATTGCAAAATAACCTCTTTTAAACTAATATTGTTCTTAGTTTTTTATTTTATTTTATTTTAAGTTTATTTATTTATTTATTTTTTTTTTAATTTATCTTCAGTGATATTAGACATCTTCTTTCTTTAAGTATTATCATTATCATGGTAGAGATTCTTAAAAAGAAGAGTGCAATGGCACAAATTCAAGAAAAATTCAAAGAATTAGTGCTTGCAATACATCAATTCAATTTATTGCTACAAAGAGCAACAAGAATGGCAAGGAATGAAGATATAGAGATGATTGGAGATGTTTCAACATCTCCACCAAATCATGTCATTTTTTCTATTATAAGATATCTTTCTAGTGTTAAAGAATTAATAACTGCACTGCTTGATATTATGATATAATACGACTATATAA